ATTTACTGCCTTGTAAACCCAAAAGGGGGGGGGTCGCTGTGAGTCAGAATCAACTTGATGACAGTGGGCTTGGTGTTTGGTTTGCTGTAGCCTCTCAGAACTGGAAGGGATCAGAGAAATTATTCTCCTTTTGCACAGTTCCTTGTCTATGCTTTACAAAGTCCTTAGTCATTTAAAACTCATGAAAATACTTTAACAAAGGTGTTGTCATTTCAGTAACAGAGGAAATTAGGCCTGAGAGAAATTAAGTAACTTGCCTCTAATCCTACTAACAGAGGTTTCGATCACACAGCTTCTCACTCTGGTGATGTGAGCTATCCAACTCATTTTTCCAGATGAGAACTTCTATGAGGGACCCATCCAGAGAGGCTAATGGCTGTTCAAGTTCACAGGCAGCTAGCGTACTCCGCATCCATCACCAGCCTACACCTTTAATGATACATCACCATGTTCACATATATTCTAACTATGTGCTTGACAAAAGCAAGGGTTGGTGGAGAGGCAGAGAGCTGCCAGGATGAGAAGGAGTACTTTCTTCCACAAGCTCCTGTTTGTGGAGCTGGCACACTGGAACCCACTTCACATGAGCACTTACATTTTCAATGCCTGCCCTGACTCAGGCTCTTTGTCCATTAGCTCTACAATTATGCAGTGATCAATCAAGCAAATGCATTTAGACACAGAGACCAGCCATCCTCATGGTGGACTTGATGCCGAAGCAGGCCTTTGAGGAATGAAAAGATATAAATCATCTGTGGGTCTAAAAGGGATTCTTAAAATAGTCTCAATAACCCCAGATGAACTTTGTAATGTCTGAGCACAAAAGTGCACAGCTAAGTCCTACTGTCCAGCAGAGTCTTTTCTAGTAAAATAATGCCTTTCTGAGTTTGAGCCCAAGACTTGACGTATGAGGCTGATGCTAAATGTAAAAAAAGCAACTGCGACACTTGATTACAGGCATGTGTGTGGCTAATGGAATTACCTGTTGGCGTGTGAAAATCCAAATATGTCAAATTAAGGAGTTCTTCCATAAATCCCCGCATGCTTTTTTTTTTTTTTTTTTGGTCTTTCATTTTCTCACAGTCTTAATATCATGGGTGGGATAGGTGTTGGCACTGACTTAACAAAAGCTAGAGCAGCGGCCCCTCTTCCGACCAGAATATTCAACAAATACCAAGGAGGGGCGGTGCCACAGGAATGCTCGACAGCATCAAAAACCCTTTCTGAAATTGAAATTCAAATCTACTGGTGAAGAATCATCCCTTTATTCGGTCATAAAAACTCAGCAGGAGCTGAGGAAGGGAGAAATGACTTCAAGTTAATAGTATGATTACTACTAATAGTGGCTAACATATAAGGAACACTTTTTACTCTCAAATTATACATACCATTAGACAGCATAAAGGAGCTCTGGTAGCACAGTGCTAAGGCATCTGACTGCTAACCAGAAGGTCGGCAGTTCAAACTCACTAGCCACTCTGCAGAAGGAAGATGGGGCAACCTACTTCTGTGTAAAGATTTACCACCTCAGAAACTCAATGGGGGGCATTATGAGTCAGAATTGACTCGATGGCAGTGGGTTTGTTTTTTCTTTTTTGGTTTAGACAGGATAAGGAGCTCTCGTGGGTAAGGCATTTGGCTAACCAGTAGGTTGGTGGTTCAAACCCACCATGTGCTCTTTTGGGGGAAGAAGAGGCAATCTACTTCTGCATAAATCTACAGCCTTGTAAATCCACTGGGGGTGGCTATGAGTTGGAATCAACTTGATGGTGGTGAATTTTTGGTTTTAGACAGCGTGCTCCATGAGGCTAGGTTTTGCCCACCACCGTATAGCCCTTGCTGTGAGTGTAATGCCTTACCATGGGAGGTTCTCAGTACGTATTTGCTAGATGACTATACGGGAGCTCTGGTGGTGCAGTGCCTAAGGCATTTGACTGCTAATCCACTAGCCACTCCTCGGAAGGAACACTGGGCAATCTACTTCTGGGGTCACTATGAGTTGGGACGATTTGACAGTCGTTGAGTTTTAAGTTTTTAGATGACGATATAACCTCATTCCATTTTCACAATTATCCTTTAAGGTTTGTTAACAACATTTTACACATGAAAATATCGAGGCTTAGAGATATTACAAAAGTATCCAAGGCAGGGATTCAAACCAGTTCATCCCCTGCTAAGAATTTACATTTCCATCTCGGACATCGGGATTTTGGCACCATTCCTCAGGTGACTCTTACAGATAGCTGGGGCTCTTGTTAAAATGTAGATTTGGATTCAGTATATCTGGCGTGGAAATGCAAAATCTCAGCCAGGGGTCAAATTGGAATGAACTAGTTCCAAACCCTGGTCCAAGGCCACCAGTGAGCATCAGAGCTTATATTCAAAGCCATATACACTTGACATCCGATTCCACGGTTCAACTTCAACACAGCTTCACCTGGACCCTAGGGCTTTTCCAGTACTGAGGCTGCTCGTGAAGGGTGGGTCCTCAGGCCTGTATTTCAAGTCAGTACACACATGACTCTGTTCCAGCCACCGCCTTTTAAACTGTTCTGCAGTATTTCTACAGCAATCAATAGAAATGACTCACCTACAAATCCTTCTTCACCAACCAGCTTCAGAGCAATTTTATCAGCCAACACGGAAGAGTTGCCATGGGCAATGTTAGCAAAGGGGCCTGCGTGCACGAACACAGGTGTGCCCTACGGAAGTAGAGGAGGAAATTCAACCCAAAGACAACAGAAAGAAAGAAAACCAAGAGCCGTTTGGGGCAAACAAGGGACTGAAGGGCATTTGACTTGAGTTAATGACTCACCCAAATCATCATTTCTCTCATTAACATTGCAGAGTCAATGCACAAAATCTCTCAAGAGTTAAAACATCCTACAGTTCCTTAAAGGACCAAGCTCCCTATGTATTCGAGAACTGTATAATTCTATACTGAACGCTGAACCGGGGAGGAAAAGCTATAAAAAGAGTCACTTCCTCCCATAATTTAATGAGCCACTGCTATCAGCTGACAGAGTCACCATGAAATAAACTGTTTACCTTACTCTATACCACTCTACGGGAGCTCTGGTAGCATAGTGCCTAAGGCACTTGACTGCTAGTCAGAAGGCTGGTGGTTCAAACCCCCCAGCCACTCCTCAGAAGGAAGATGGGGCAATCTACTTCCGTAGTGATACTGCCTTGGAAACCCAAGGAGGAGTCGCTATGAGTCGGGTCCGACTCCACGGCACATAACAAAAACAACATACCACTCTATACTACATTAAAACAACAACAAAAAAATGGAATTAGACCCCGATGGTCTAAGAAGAGTACATTTATCGATAAGAAACTAGTCATTTCAAGAAAATTCTCAAATAAACATAAAATTCATTAATTAGTAAATTATGGGAATCAAGTTAGGGTGAGTAACTAAGGACTACGTTTATTAGAGGTCGTTTTTACATTGAATATTAATTTTCTGTTCTGAGTTGTTACAATTCTGTTTAAGTTTTTCTCGTTAATTCCAACAGAACCTGCATGCCACAGATCTGCTAGCTATTGAGAAAATAGGAGTCCAAAGGTGCCCTGGTGGCGCAGTGGTTAAAGGTGGCTGTGAACTGAAAGGTCGACAGTTTGAACCCCCCAGGTGCTCTGCAGGAGAAGGACAAGGCAGACCGCTTCCATACAGATTAGAGCCTTAGAAGCTCTGGGGCAGTTTACTCTGTTCTACAGGGTCACTGAGAGTCAGAATTGACTTGACAACAGCAGGTCTGGTTGTGGCTTTTGGTATTGTGAAAGGTTAACGCTCTCGGTTGCTGATAGAAACGTTGGCGGTTCAAGCCCAACTAGAAACCACCACAAAGAAAGGCCTGGTGCCCGTTTCCAAAACCTCAGCCCCCGGAAGCCCTGCAGAGCACAGCTCTCCCATGACACATGCAGAGCTGCCGTGGGCAGGGATCCACTTGGTGACAACTGCTGTGTGTGTTTTCTAACAAAAAAACAAAAGCAAAGAGAAATTCTTACTAAAAAGATGAAAGAAACAAATATACAGGGGATTGTCCACAATGTTCGATTTTAATTACTTCCACAAAAACTGACTCTATATTAATTTTTTAAATGGCATGTCAATATTTTCATGATTCTCTCACTGATGACAACAGACCTCAGCCTCATTTAAGAGTTTTATTCACACACATTATGTGTTCAGGCTTTGTTCCAGCTGAGCCCGGGGCCTTTCGAGGTGTGCACATGCCACTGTGGGTTCTCCCTGTGCAAAAATGGGCTGCTGCCCTTTGCTGACACGAGGCCCATCCCAGGCAGGGGACGGGGGCTGGGAGCAATGGAAAGGTTCTGTGAACGTGCTGCAAAGATGAGAAAGCTGAGCAAAAGCAGGAAGAGAGGAAGTGAAAGAAGTCAGCTCAGAGACGGAAAAGCAGTTTATCAAAGCCACGTATGTGAGTTCCGAGTTAACTTTTCCTCTTAATGTCCACCGAAAAACTCACCGCCATGGAGTCAATTCTGACTCACAGTGTCCCTAGAGGGCAGAGTAGAACTGCCCCATAGGGTTTCCAAGGCTGTGAATCTTTACAGAAGCAGACTGCCTCATCTTTCTCCCTCGGAGAGAGTGGTGGATTCGAATAGCTAACCTTCTGGTTAGCAGCCTAATGTTTTAATCACTGCACCGTCACAGATCCTTTCTGATGTCCACAGGAGGGTAAGAAAGTAGGGCCCTGAGAAGGTCATGCAAATACATGCGGAAATAAAGCTGAGACGGTAACACCAGACGTATGTGTTGAGGTATGTGTGTGTTCAGTGTCTGCATCTGTTTTGTTGTTGCTGTTGTTGGCACCATCAGGTTCTAAGCTGTAATCTTTCTGGGAGCAGATCACCAAGTCTTTCTCTGGTGGAGCCACTGAGTGGGTTCAAAACGGCAACCTTCGGGTTGGCCCTTAACCGTCTGCGTCATCAGCGCTCCTTCTATTTCTGTCTGCCCATCAGTAATCCCTCACTCTCTCCAGACAAGAGAGGGCGTCAGTGGTTCGGTGGTAGGACTCTCGACTTCTGTACGGAGACCCAGTGCACGGCAACCACTCGTCCGTCAGCTGAGGCACGTGATGGTGCGTAGGTTTCAGCCGAGTTGCCAGATTAGGACTGATGAGGAAGGCCTGGTGACCAGCTCCTGAAAAATCAGCTGGAAAAATCCCTAGGGAACACATGGCCTGATCCCCAACCAGTCACAGCAATGGCACGGGACAGTTTCATTCTGTGGTACCCGGGGCCCCACAAATAGGGGGTCATCTCCATGGCAGCTAAAACCAACATCTAGACCAACCCTTTGTAAAAAAGACCTTCAAGTCTCCACTTAACTTTGCCAGTTGTTGCTGCCTGGGGAAAGCTAGCTGAGTCTGTGACAGTTGGATGAGAACAAGGTCACATGCTCCATCCTTCAACAGGCTCCTGGCTTTACGCCTCTACGGGCTGTGACCGTCCCCATAGCCATCTGTCTGGGAAGCAAAGGGGACCAGTCTCCGGGAAGATAGGCAACAGGGTGTGGTTAGATCAACATAAACACATCCCTCTTCCTGGGATAAGAACCTGGATAAGCAGCAGTATTTGCATTTACAAAGACTAGCACTTTTATTGTCTGTAGAATTGTTCTGATTTTTTAGGCTGCATACTAATCTCTGGTGGCGTAGTGCCTAAGGCACTTGACTGCTAACCAGAAGGTGGGAGGTTCAAACCCACCAGCCACTCCATGGGAGGAAGGTGGAGCAGTGTACCTCTGTAAAGATTTACCACCCTGGAAACCCAGTGGGGGTTGCTATAAGTCGGACGGGACTCGATGGCAGAGAGTTTGGTTTGGTTTGGAACATAAAAGTGGACTACAACAGACACAGCCCCAGAACTCTGAGACAGTCTGACTTTCTAAGTTTCTACTCTGGTCAGTAGCATTTGATCAGCCAAAATGTAAATCAATTACACTCATTTTACATTTGTAAAACCAACTTTGCTCTGCAAACTAAAAAGAAGAAAAAATGTAAATCATATCAAAGAATCTATCAACAGACTTCTAATTTTATTTCTTAGAGGACCAGGACGCTCTTCCGACACTCCTTGGTGGGCCCACATCAGGTGGGAACTCTTCCAACCTCGTGGCACACTAAGGGCAATGCAATGAATACCAAGTCTATACACAATTCATATAAAAAGAAAAGCACTTACTTCTAGGGTCTGCATCAGATTTGGTTTTATGGCATCTTTCATCAAAACTGTCAAAGCACCTGTTACCCCCTAAAGGACAGGAAAAAAAAAAACCACTAGGTTAGTGACAAAAGAGCACCCAGGCTCTGGGATCAGCCCTCAGCTGTTCTCTCATTGGCTGGCTTCCTAGCTGGGCCCTCAGGGGTCCCAGGCTGCTCTCACCTGGGCTACAGGGGACATGGCGCTGTGCTGTCTATCCATCTCCCCCCACCCCAACACAAGGGGTGTCAGTCATCCTGAGACGTAAAGGACGAGGGGGGTAGCAGTGAATGACTGTGTGTCCCCTAAAATTGTGCTGTAAATCCTAATCCCTATACCTGTGCTTAGAATCCCACCTGGGGGGTTTTCTCGTGATGGTCATGAGGCAGGATTAGTGCAGGGTGTGCTTTGAGCCCATCTCTTTGGAGACACAAAAAGGAGATTCAGCAAGCACAGAGGGGAGACCAGGCCACATGAAGGCCACCGAGGAACCAGACCAAGGAACAGAAGCCCAGAGCAAGGACCTTCCTCCAGAGCCAAGGGAGAGAGAGCCTCCCCCTACTCACAGCCTGTGCCCTGAACTCCGACTTCTAGCCTCCTAACAGTGGGAAATAAATTTCTGTTTGTTACAGCCTACCCCCCACGCTATTGCTGTTGGAGCAGCCAGATATGAAGCAGGGAGGGCCAGTCACTGCTTTCTCCTTACACTTTCCTTGACGGCCTTCAGATGTTTGCCACGAATCAGACCCTTTAATCCCATGCAGAGTGTGTGGCAACCATGCACGTTACTTCTTCATTACCAGAGGGCTTACTATTGCCCAAAGAAACAAGACCAAGGGCCAAAACAGAGATATTTCCAGAGTAGGAATAAGAGAGAGAGAGAGGGAAAAAAAAAAAAAAAAAAAAAACTCACTAGCGACCCCCTTTGGGTTTCCGAGGCAGTAAGTCCTTACAGAAGCAGATGCCCAGACTTCCTTCTGCAGACTGGCTGGTGGGTTTGAACCACCAGCCTTAGAGTGGTAAAGGGAAGTGTCTACAAATACTTATTCTTGTTTCCTACCTTTACAGGTATGGAAGGTACTTCAACACTGCTGCGTTGGAAAGGCGTCTAGCTTTGTGTCTCTCAGGCTAGCTCTCCGTCAGGAATGAAGCTGAAGTCGCTGATGGCTCTGTCTGAAGAGCCCCCAGATGGAGGGAGAGATCCCACCCCACCCCACCCCCACAGGCAGAAAAGCAGGCCTGAAGAAAAGCTTATGGAATACATTTTACGTGTTTGATTGCAGCCAAGTCCAAGCACATTATAAATACCTATGAAAATACTGGTAGCGTAGTGCCTAAGGCACCTGACTGCTAACCAGAAGGCTGGAGGTTCAAACCCACCAGCCACTCCTCAGAAGGAAGATGGGGCAATCTACTTCTGTAGCAACCCAAGGAGGGGTCGCTATGAGTCGGGTCTGACTCGATGGCACATAACAACAACAATAACATGAAAACACTGCAAAGCTTAAGGGAAACAGGTGTGTGCAAGAAACTCTGCGTGTGCAAAGTCTCTGAACCCCCAGTGTGCACACTGCTAACAGGAAGAAGCTTCATGCTTCTCACCAGCAGAGAACTAGGCAGAGAGCTCACTGGAGCCTGTGAGTGGACATACGCACCAAATCTTCTGCGGTCACAGGCTGCCCGTTCTTGTCACTGGCCACCACCATTCGTCCCAGCCGCTCCTTCATATCCGTGAGGCTGTCAGTCAGGGCCAGCACCGCCATGATCTCACTGGCCACTGCGATGTCAAACTGGGCCTGCAGCAGCCAAGCAGAGGCATTGCTCAAGAACAGCGCCACCTGGAGGCCACTCACTCCAACAGGGAGCTCAGTTCCAACACTCAGTCTTGGCAGAACAGGGTCTGTCCTCAACGGGCATTCTCACAGCCATAGTTTTCTGAGGGTCTAAGTCACGCATGGTCCTGTGCTAGCTGATCTCTGCTGCAGCCACGTAGCTCCCTACACCCTTTCCCACTTTGGTCTGCTTTCCTGGACCCAGTTTGCTATCTCACCTGTTGCACCTGCTTATGGCACTATGTGGCTTGCTTTTGCAGCATGTCTCAGACTGTCACTGATGACTTATGTGACTGTCTGTGTCCAGTTTGTCTCCACCAGTAAAGTGCCAGTGAAGGCAGGGACGATTTCACAGGGGTTCCCTTCTGAATCCTCAGCATCAGGGCTGTGCCTGAAACACCAAAACTCACAACACCATCAAACAAGGTGCTAACTGAGTCAACTCCAACTCACAGCAAGAAGATGATGGGTGGCTTCTCACCCTACTGCGTCCTATGCCAGTGTCCCAGAGTCACACTGCAACCAGCAGTGAGGACAACCTGCTACGAGTAACCCACTGGGTCAACTGGCGGCACAGACTCCGTGTACAGCTGCCCAAGGGGGTATGACCACATCAGATCTTGGAAATTCTCGCAGGAAAAGCTGGAGAAGAGCTACTGTTTGTGAAATGACCTAGGACTCCTGTTCACTTGACTGGGACTCCAGGAGGCACCAAGTCCAATAGGATGAAGAGACACAAAAACATGTACTTCCTTCTGCTTGTAAGTCAGCCACTCGGAGTTTCTCCAAACAAAACTACTTCATCAGGCTCCAGCTCAATTCCTTCCCAAAGGAAAGTGTGAGCTACACAAGTTCAATCTACCTAGACAGAAATGACTATGCCCCAGTGGGATCTCCTTAGGACATTTTATTATGCATTCCCACCACTGACAAGTAAGGAAATGAAGGAAGTAAGAGGCTTTCTGGCTATTTCCTGGTCGGGATTTCATTAGTCACTGATTGAGTGAAAACTATTATTGGCTGAGAGTCAAATACAACTATATTCAATTATTACATTCTTAATATAATACATTCCAAACATAGTTTCTTTTTTTACTGTATAATATTTAGGACTCTCTATACCACTACTCCATTACACATGGTGCATATAAAAACAGTGACTGTAAATACTGAGACCTTCTATACAAAACATGACATCAGAGCTATCCTGGAAATGTTAGCTGTGAAAATAAAAAGTAGAATTTATAACCCACATATCAGTTCTTCATGTATAATGGCTATACTTTCAAAATTCTGCATCCTGAGCAACATTAAAAAGGAAACAAATTGGGTTGATTTATTAATATTATTAGTAACAATACTGTTACTCATTTTACTGACTGAATGATGTGCATATTAGAATGCTGCTCATTTTTGTTCTGCAAATAAAATCTTTCCAAATCATACAATCACCACTGCTCAGATTATCAAGAATTTAAACAAAGGACAATATACAGTACTGGCAACAATGTGAAATGACGTAACTTTTCTGAAAGGTTAATGTGGAAATATAAATCAAGATTTAAAATATGTGGTCTCTTTGACTCTGCAATTACACATCTGGGAATTTGTCCTTGGAATTATTTTATTATCAGAAAAGTATACACCCTTTGTGTATGTTCACTGTAGCATATTTATGACAGCCCAACACTGTAAATGCCCTAAATGTCCATTAACAGGGGCCTGCTGGAGTTGGTTATGGCACACAGAACAAGATGAGCTCTTACAAGTGAGCATATGTTTTGCTATCAGCTGTCCAGTCAAATATGACTCAGAGTGACCCCCTGTGTGCAGAACAGAAACGCTCCATAGTGTTTTCAAGGCTGTGGGCTTATGGTAGCAGACTGCCAGGCCTGTCTTCTGGGAGGCCTCTGTCTAGGTTCAAACCACCAACCCTTCAGCTAGTAGTCAAGTGCGTAACTGTCTGTGTCACCCAGACCCAGACATAGATCCATCTTCACTGACATGAAAACAGGTTGTCACGTTGATGGCCACTGCTGGTCCTTAGGGGGCTCTCTGTGCAAATGACACAAAGCTGCTCTTCCCTTAAAAAAGTGTCACGATAGGCAGGTGAGTTAAACATTTACCTCAAGTAGACACACGCCCTGGAGAGAACAATCATGGGAGAAGGAAGGGCTGCTTATGCACAGGGAGATAGCTCAGGGTGCAGAAGAGTATGAAGGGATGGACACTGGGAGGAGGTAACTATGGGGAGGAAGTGGGAGGGGAGCTGCTGCATTGTAAATTTTGGTCAATGACATGAGACAGAGTATATGTGAACTGCTGTATGAAAAGTGAATTTACTCTGTAAATCTTCACCCAAATCCTAAAAAAAAAAAAAGTAAAAAAAAAAAAAAATGTGTCACGATATACTAGTTTTCTAGGAAGAAGACATTTTTCACTGACATCTGCCAGACAAGAGCCACAGAAAAGAACCCACCAATCTATGAGTGTGGTGCGAGTCTACTCCCCAGACCACGCAGTGCAGGGTGTGCTGGTCTCGGCACCCACACCAGGTCCAGGCTGACACAAAAGCACCTGGAGGCTGGCTCTGCATAGGTGTTCCAGGAAGAGGCCCATCCACCCACTGCCTGGGAACTACCCATCAACCCCTGACCTCAAGGGTTGTGTGGGTCTTCTCCTGTTTCTGAGAAATAAGGTATCTATGGTGTCTGAACTTAGGGACCCCAAAAACCTTTATTCTTTTTTTTTTTTTGGCTGTTCTCCACCAATCTAATTCCATCTTATCTTTCAGGACCTTTCCCTCATCTACGGCAGTGACTCTGGTTTTTTAGCATGGACACTGATTACTTGCATGGAATCCATTTACATGTGCAAGTTACAGAATCTACAGGAGGAGAGAAAGTACACCTTCTTGATCCAATCCCCATATTTGTTTTTTTATTCAAAAGATTTCAAAAGGTCCAAAAGTCTCCTTGGGTTGAGGACTGATTACAATCAGAAAAGTGATTCCTACTTCACTAATAACAACTTAAAAATATAAAGGCTGTACATCTAAAACTATCCTAAAATATAAAGTTTATTCCAAAAATCTGGCTGAAAAGTCACGGAATGAATTTCTATTCCCTAATTGCCACCGCTACACACCAGAGACGAATTAAAATGAAGGCAGACACCATAATTTTTCTCCCACATTCTCTAGATTTGATAGGAAGACATTATCCTTAAAAACTCCTCTGGCTATTATGCTAAATAACTAGGTGTATCTTCTTTGGCTTACTAAATTTGAATGATTATCTGAGATTTTCATTTTTTAGTTAATTGTTAGTTAGGCAGATAGAGTATTAATTAGGAGGGTTTCCGATAAAATATTCAAGAATTTCTATCCAGGGTACACATTGAGTGGAAGTTCCCATGTATAGGATGAGAAGAAGATTCCAGAACATTTTCCCCTCCTGATCCTCTCCAGTCCGGAGGCGTGTTTAGAAAGGACACCCTGAAATACTGAGAGGGCCACGGCCCCTGCAGACTGAGAAATGAGAAAAGCCTGGACTGCGTAACCACCACAAGAACAGAATCACTCTTTGGATGACAACCACCTACCTGGCGGGAAAATCCCTTCTCCGTGTTTGCCTGCCCAATTGTTATTTTTCGTAGAAATCGGTCATTTGTATCCAGTACTGGAAGAGAAGAGAACAGATTATGTATACAATCAGCAGATCTGTGCTGCCTGTCTCGTGTGTGTTGAGTGCTGTACTGAGAGCTGGACATGGACACGAGGGAAGGCAGCATGACAAGGGCCAGCTTCCATGGAGCAGACATGAGGTGGCCAGACACACAGAGGATGATCAAATAAACAAGAAAACATAGGCTACTGATAACTGCCTTAAAAAAACAAAAGTGGTGATATGATAGAGCTTGTCATGGCAGTGGAGGGTCGGGGGCACCATGATAATAAAATGCATTTCTGGAACAGTGACATCTTACAGTGAAATTGAAACCAAGGCTCAAGAAGCTGGTCATGATTACAGCAGGCCCCAATCTTCTTTATTTTCTTGATTTGCTCATTTGAATTCATTGTTTCAGGATTTTTGTGAAAACTAGATTTCACTTAGCAAAAACCGAATTTCTAATACCAGGAAACAAAGCCAGAATGACACAGTCTTCACTAATGGTTTACATAGGTTCAAATAACAAGTTCACAGCGACACCTTAGATCCCAGGTGCTACATACATAACATGGCAATAGCAAAACTGGTGAAGGAAATCTGAGTATCTGAGGACTATGAGCATTTGCAGGATGAAAAACAGTCACCTCCTCTTGTATGTACAAAGCACAAGCAATAATAATATGCGCATCTTCTGTTCCTGGATCCAGCTGCTGCCAATCTCTTTCTCTACATATTATATATTCACACACATGCACACATACCCCTCACTCTCATACACACATTCTCACTCACACACACTCTCATAGTACATACCTTCACACACATGCATACACTCAGATAGGTACACACTCAAACACACTCACATCCACACAAATGCACATAAACCTTCTTCATGATTTTAACACACAAGAAGAGTATATAAAAAATGAAAGGAATGCCTCTCGATATCATCACTAGCTACCACTTCTACTTGCTATCCAGTTACCAAATCATCTAAGCACTTGATCTCATCACACAAGTTATTGTTATGCCATTTCTAAGTTTAAATCCATATTGAACTTAAAAAAAGAAAAAAAATTTTACTGTTGTTGCTGTTAGAGATCAAGTCGGCTCCAACTCACAGCAACCCTGTGGACAACAGAACGAACACCGCCTGGTCCTGTGCCAGCCTCACAAGCCTGGCTGTACCTGAGCCCATCACCGCAGCCACTGTGTCAGTCCATCTCATGGAGGGGCTTCCCTTTTATGCTGACCCTCCACTTTCCCAAGCATGATATCCCTCTCCAGGGAATGGTCCCTTCTGACAACATGACCAAAGCAGGTGAGATGAAGCTTGGCCATTCTCGCTTCCAAGGAGCATTCTGGCTGCCCTTCCCCCAGGACAGATCTGTTACTTCTTTTGGCAGTCCAAGGTACTTCGAGTATTCTTCACCAACACCACAACTCAAAAGCATCACCTCTTGCTGTTGTTGTTATGTTGTTAGGTGCCATCGAGTCATCTCTGACTCGTAGCAACCCCATGCACAGCAGAATGAACACTGCCCGGCCCCGCGCCAGCTCCACAATCCTTGCTGTACTTGAGCCCATCGCCACAGCACTGTGTCAGTCCATCTTTGCTCTTCAGCACTTTAAAGAGGTCTTTGCAGCAGATTTAACTTTACTATTAAACGTTCTCAATTCATTTGCTGGAGAGTCCTGTTTCTCACACTCATTCATGGAAACCAGAGCCAAACTACTTATCGAACATCATCCAAATCCTTCTGACCCATGTGACTTGTCAACAGCAACAGTTCACCTTATTGCCTGCATAGTAATATCATTCTCATGTTTATTTGGAGTCATTTTTTAAAGTTGTCACTTCCATTAACACTGATCTGCAGCCAGAGAACACTCCAATCCTTTCCACCTTCTCAGAGGGAAGGCAATCTGAACACTGGCTCTGGGCAGAGAGATCACAGAGCCTTTTTCTTCTAAGAGCCTGGACCAAGTCCACTGCCCAGTGTCGGGTCCTGCTTAAGCTAGAACGCCGAAGCGGATGTGGAAGAATGCCAAGTTGTGTAAGTGTCTTTGAGCATGCCCACGTGCTCGGTTTAAAATGCACTTTAATTCCCACCTGTATAAATTTTTCGTTCACAAATAAAGCTCCAAAAAAAACTTTAAACAGTAATGCAAATTGCAATGCCCTGAAAAAGCTGATGACTGAATTTTGTACATATTTGTGTTTTAATATTAAATCTTCTTCACTTTTAAAAAAAGTTAGAGGAAAATGCATAGGTACTTCAATAAAATGCTGCAAATATCTGTGTCAGTTATTGAAAATGAGGTGGGTCTGTACAATAATAGAAGCATAGTTAACTCTGATGGAGAAGTGCCTAAGGCATTATTTGACTGCTAACTGGAAGGTTGGAGGTTCAAACCCACTAGCCACTCTGTGGAAGGAAGATGGGACAATCTACTTCAGTAAAGATTTACCACCTCAGAAACCCAAAGGGGGTCTTCTTGAGTCGATGGCACTGAGTTTGGTTTTGGTTGGTTTGGCAGTCTTTAGAGAAAGTAGATATAGCATGTATGAACATCTCTTAACCATTTAGTGCCACAGCTAATCCAAAAGACTGACTTATGTCTCTCTCAAAATACAGCTCAAAGTCCTGGCCCCTGCACCTATGAATGCGGTGACATGTGATAATAGGGTTTTCCTTTGGTGTCTAATGAGGCCATACCGGAGTAGAGATTTACCACCTGGGAAACCCAATGAAGATCACTATGCATCGTGACTGACCCAATGGTAGTGAGCCTGGTTTTTGGTTTTTAAGTGCTTTTAACTGAGTTCAGGAAACAAAGATGCAGGTAACCACTATATAATACAACAGTTACCACCATGCTTCCCAGTGTTCAGGGGCTGATGCTTTAGTCTACAAAGCACCCTCATGATTCAATGGAACCTCCCAGGAGAGAGCCTGGTACTAGTACTCCATTAAAAAAGTTATTATGATAAAATATATAACTAAATACTTAACATGTCAACTATTTTTAAGTGTAGAAGTCAGTGACATTACTGTATTTTTTCAGATATAATATACCCACGTAAATAACATGTGCATGCATGTAACACACATAGCATGTGCAGGAAACTAACATGCAAGGGGGTTGCATGGTTTGCAAAATAGTGCATAGAGTGTGCATTATTATGTCAAAATATGGTACTTGCCATGCTGTGTAACCATTTATCACTCCACTTTGAAGATGAGGAAACTGAGTAGGGAGCTGTGTGGAGCTGTGCTGCCAAAAAGTGGTGTGTTTGTGGGAAAACACTAAGTTCTCAGTGAAGTGGCTGAATGGATTCCCAGGGGGAAGGTTTGTGAAAGGGTGAGACTCAGGCTGTCACTAAACTGTAATGGAGACACTGTTGAATTGGTGTATGTTCTGCTGTGTAGATATTCTCAACAACAATCAAAAAAAACCAAACCAAACTCACTGCCATCGAGTCAGATCCGCCCCACAGCGACTCCTCCTTGGGCTTCCGAGGCAGTATCACTATGGAAGTAAATTGCCTCATGTTCCTTCTGAGGAGTGGCTGGTGGGTTTGAACCTCCAGCCTTCTAGTTAGCAGTCAAATGCCTTAGACACTATGCCACCAGAGCTCCCTCGACAACAACAAAAAAGAAAATTATTTTTTTAAAAAAGGACTCCAACAGCGAGATGGGGAAGGGGCGGCCAAGCCAGAGTAAACAGAAGGCAGGCAGCCCTGACTAGAACACAGACTAGGAGGAGAGGGGACCCGGGGCCACAGTGCAGTGGTCCTGAGGCCAAGCCACGTAATGGCAATTCTATCACACACTGACGGCTTCATAGCAAGGGAGTGATGAGACACAGCTGTATTAATATGAACCTTCCAAACTGGGTAGATAGAAATCAAAGCAAGAAAATCTATTAGAAGGTAACTCAATAAATCAGGCATCTGATAAAAATTTTCTGAGATTGGGTAGAAATAGAAAAAAGGGGAGGGGACAGATGTGAGAAGAACGATGCAGGAAGGATCAAGAATACATACCACCTACTGCTACCTAAAAAGGCAAAGGCCCTCAATTAGACGGAGTGACACAGTGGCTGCAACAATGGGCTCAGGTATGGCAAGGACTGTGAGGGCGGTGCAGTACCAGGCAGTGTTCCGTTCTGTTGCACACAGGGTCACTATGAGTTGGAGCCGACTCAGCAGCACCTAAAAACAGTATCTAACCCTCTCCATTAGGTTGCCATGAATCAGAATGGACTCCATGGCAACTAACAACAGTAATAAACACTTACACAGCATCTTAGGCTTCATCAAATGCTAGCATCCTATTCTCATAAAGTGCATGTTACCATTTCCATCTTACAAAGAAACTGAGGTCCAGAGCACCTATGTGACTTGTTCAAGGTCATGAGTACCGCACGTTAGTGGCAGAGCAGAGAGAACACACTAAGGTCTTCTCATTCCTAGTGCTTTTTCCTACCATTTCACCCAGCAGTGCCTGATGACTCCAGCTCGATACGGCAATGTGGGGGAAGGGAAAGGGGCGTCACAGCTAAGAGGGAGGCAGGAAAGTCAACAGGGGATAGTGAGAAGCCCACCCGGGCAGCATGTGAAGTGTTAGAGGGATACCCTGGTGGCACTGTCAGTAGCGGGCACTGACGATGGAAATGTGAGAGCTGCTGAGAGCCAGTGGCACAAAAGCTGAAGGAAAGCAGTGGGCTGGCGGGCAGAGACAGGAGCAGAGCAAAGAGAGGAGACACGGGCGTTCTGGGTTTTTTACTTTACAGAGACTAGAGGCCCGTGAAGAGACAGAAGTGAAAATTAAGTAGCTGTCCTTGGATGTTGTCCTTGGACATTCAGAGAAGCTGGGAGTGGCTGGGACTAAGGCCACGTAGAGAAGGTGGCTTTCAGATAAGAAAGGACATGGATTCCCCAATGGGAGGCAAACATGAGAGAAAAGCATGATAAAGTCCTAATAACTGGAATAAACAGAGGGTTTATGAAGTACTGGCGGGGAAGAAAATGAGAAGAAATAAAATCAGGCATTTATGCAATTAATTCAAGTGTTCTTGTTGGCACTGCTCAGAACTTCAGCCTGAACAAGTCTCGCTCCCACACCCAGCTGCTCGCCGTCACCCTGCCCACCCCACCTCCAGGCACCTCTCTGCCACGTGATGGTTGAGGGGTCGATGTTCAGACGGGCGAATCTGCTCATCTCCTCTTCCGTCAGTGTGCTTGGGTCCGTCTTATGGATGCCCAGCTTCTAATGGTGAAAAAGAAAACACATGGTACGTTTTAGAAGGAATAGACAGAAAAAGGAAACAAAAGGTAAAGTATTTCTCTTATTTTATTTTTCCTGTAACTAATGAAGCCCTTTTAAAAAAAAACAAACTAAACTGAATTTCAATTAAATAGTAAATTAAGTCAACTCGTATAAAGAAATGCCTAAGTTCAAATAACTCACACAATTGGAAGACACTGGCGATGTGTCACACATATGCCCTTAAAATGACAGATCTGAACACACAGCGCTGTTTGCAGCAGATACAGAACACTTGCTCCTGTCTATTTCCCCCTGAGGCTCTGCGTCTCCAAGGGCTGCTGTCCTTTCTGTGCTCAGAAGAGCTGCAAGCTGCTGGCCACGGAAGTGATGCACGTTAGGTCTTATTTTCTACTACAAATATCAATAATTTACATAAAGTTTATGTGTATTTTTTCAAAACAAGTTATTTCTCAGTCAGTGCAGAAAACAGACATTAAAATTTTTAATACATCTACTTCCATAAAAAGAGTCCCTGGGCAGTGTAAATGGTTAAGAGCTTAGCTGTTAATCAAAAGGTTGGCGGTTCAAGCCCCCCTAAGAGTCTCGGAAGACAGGCCTTGTGAGCTGCTTCCCAAAGGCCACAGGCCTGCAAGCCTACGCAAGGCAGCTGCACTCCAGCACAGAAGGAAACCGCAGGAGTGAGGACTGACTCAATGGCAGCTGGTTTGTTTGGCTGTTTTTGTTTCATTTCTATAAAGGAAACATTCTAACAAAGTACTTTTTAATGAAGGCATATAATAAAAGAATTTCCTATAGGACAGAGTACAACTGCCCCATACGGTTTCCAAGGCTGTAAATCTTTATGGAAGCAGATTACCTCATCCTTCTCCCATGGAGCAGCTGGTGGGTTTGAACCACCGACCTCTGGGTTAGCAGCTGGATGCCCTAACCAATGC